GTTAGATCTTAGCTCTTACATTGAAAAGAAGGGCATACAATACTTTTTATGTGGATCCGATTTGTGTTCAGCAAATGGGGAAATAGGAAGTCAAGTACGTATGGTAATTTCTTAGTCTCAAACGATTGCATTTGTAATGCACTTCTGTGAAAACGTCAGCCGTTGTACACTTCAGATGATTTTTTAAAGGTACAAGTGCTTTCAATATAGCTTGTTTTTTCTTTACTCACCAGTTAGTCACCAGAGGCTCAATTAGCTGCTAAAAATAAAGTGCTTTTCAAACCTGAAAACACAAAAGGGATTATCTTTCAATTTAGAACACCTAGATGGCATTTGAGATTACCATTATACCAAAAATAATAAGCAATGAAAAATAAACAAATATACATATGCCTCAATGTTACAATATGACAATACTGCTTTAGACACGTTTCCCTTTTGACACAGCATGTGCCTTAAATAGAGTTTTGCCAATACAATTAGCTGTTGTTTGAATGGGCAGGATGTTACAGAAAGCATAGTTGTGGATATACAAAGATAATTTAGGCTATTTCAAGACAATTTAAAGGATAAATATAAAGTGGTTTGGGATAGGACATGAATACAAAATTATACATTTCTCTTTCATTACTGCGGAATAGTATAATAAACAAATATATTTTTAGATCTGTAATCCCTGTAAGAAATCCTAGCTGGCATGTGTTTTTTATGAAGGAAACAGCAGGCAGCTGCAATGGTAAGGAACAAGCTGAGTGGGAATTTAGAAAGCACGAATGTCAGAGGTCTCTACAGACATTAAAGCCTCTGCTAATTACCAGAAATAAAATAAATTGAAATATTCTTCTCTTCTTTTTTATCTTTGACATACCCTCAATGTCCTCTTATTTGGCATTTTGCATTTGGAGATATTTAACACACAAGACTAGGTATTTTACACTGGAACAGTCATTTAACAATGTTTGCATATCACATCTATTCAATTATAAATCGATAATATCAATGTTTAAATTATCTGCTACTTTAAACTAAGTGTGTGTGTGTGTGTGTGTGTGTGTGTGTGTGTGTGTGTGTGTGTGTGTGTGTGTGTGTGTGTGTGTGTGTGTGTGTGTGTGTGTGTGTGTGTGTGTGTGTGTGTGTGTGTGTGTGTGTGTGTGTGTGTGTGTGTGTGTGTGTGTGTGTGTGTGTGTGTGTGTGTGTGTGTGTGTGTGTGTGTGTGTGTGTGTGTCCTAATAGCACTGATGCATTTAGGATCCTATTCATCTGCCTGTGATGATTGTGGTTTGGAGTATCTTGAAAGTAAACACTGGTAATTAATCCCTGTTTATACATTGTCTCGGAAGTTACACAACCATCCCTCTGTTACCCTGCTCACACTGTTACTGAGCCCAGGCACTTACAGTTGAGTTGTTAATGAGTGGTGCAGGAAACCAGGCAAGCACAGTTTAATGCACATGGGGAAACCTGAAAAACCTAAAAAAAACCTACTCGGACATGATTACTCCCATCAGCCCTCAGTGGCAACACGTTAAATTAATGTGAAAGGTCAAATTATTTGATGGCTGACATTTAACAACGTGAATCATTTCAAAAGTCCCTAAATGTCATCTCTAATGAAGTATGTGGTGTATTGATGTAATGGTGGTATCGTTATTGTCATGAGTAACATTTGAAAAAACACATTAGAGAAATTAAATGTCTTAGTGGCTGTAATGTATCTGATTGGTGTGAGGAAATCAACAAAGGTTTTTGTAAAATGCAATTTAACAGTAGGTTTATTAGAGGAGTTTTGCATGTTCTAACGCTAAGTCTAAGCGCTATAATGTTAATTGACAGAAGGTCTGCAGAGATTTATTTGTCCCTTTACTTGAACTCCTTTTTTTAAATTCCCACAGTCAGTTACATTCATCTTTGTTTTGTCATATGTCAGAGATGCCTGTATGATCTCCTCTGAGAGCCTGCTGTATATCAACTGCAGGTTAAATACATGTCAACCCTTGTCATGTACAGTATGTTCATGAGGTATTTTTCATGCTTTTCCTTAATCGGTTTGAAATAATGGTTGAGATAATTCATCCATCAATTTTCACCCGCTTATCTGGGCCGGGTCATGGGGGCAGCGGGCTAAACAAGGTATTCCAGACGTCCCTCTCCTAAGCAAATAGCTCTGTCTAGAAGCCCCTGAGGTGTTCCTAGACCTGATGTGATATATTTATAATATCACTGTATAATAAGAAGGAGTCTTTAAATACATGTACTGCCAGAAACAGCAATTAGGGTAATTAGCAAGATCACAGTGTTTCTGCCTCTGCCAGCTGAAAATGTGTCTTAAAAAATTAACTGTGCAAGTTATTAATTCATGTACAACCATAGGGTATTTGTCACAAAAAAATAAGCTATGTCAGGCATTGAAGACTCAGACAACAGGTTTATTAGGATCAAGTCATTGTTACTTTTTGGACTTAGTTGACGTTGTAAAGAGATTCTGAAAGTTTCAGGAAAAAAGATTCGCTCTCTTTTTGTCCTGATCCATTTATATAAAAACCTGTCTGAAAATGAGCTGATCAGATTTTGGCCACTTTATGATGTCATAACAATTTGTTGGCTTGTGTAACCATTAGCCAATCAGCAACCAAGGTAACCCCCCCCCCCCCCCCCCCCCCACCTTATCACCTGAATATCCTCCTAGAGCACCATTGTGTTATTTTTAACCAAATATCTCTCAGAGGGGCGTTGGGAGTGGCACTTTTATTTCATCTAAAGTAACAGACCCAGAATCAGCACTTTTGAAACAGGGCTGAAACAGAGGGGTTTATGGGATGCTGCAATGGGTGATCTGTTTGGTATTTTGAGTCAACCTCTTCAGAGACATGTTTTGTATATATCTGAAACCTATAATATATTGATGAAAAACAGTATAATAGGGGACCTTTTAAGTATATTCTCACCTCTGTGCAGCATGTTGCAGAAAACATTTGATCTTTCCGTAGATAACTGTTTTGTAAGTCATCATTTTGAGTTTACTGATCATTGTCAAGACCAAAACAGTACATTCTTACTTTATCGGAAAGAAAGTAGCAGTCAGTACATTCATATTCTGGATGTCTCATTGCTCACAGTGATGAAAGCAGTAGGGTGAAGTCCTAAAAAGCGAGCCATGTGCAGACTGCATTATTCATGCAGGACTCCCTGCACACCCAGCTCAGTCCGCGCTGAAGAGCCTGCACCTCAGCTGATGAAAGGGCTGGCTGCGATGGCACGCTGCAGTGCTACATTGCAGACGGTTGTGTAATAATCAGAGGGATTCACATGGCTGTCCTCTGCAGCTGCCACACTGCCCTGTGGAGGGAGGGGGGGGAGGGGGGCAGAGCAGAGCAGAGCAGGGCTCCATCAGCCAACTGCCGCTCTGTTTGAAGTGCACTTTCCTGGAAGAAGACAGTCACAGGATGAGACTAGAGCAGGCTGTGATATAACTACATGAAAACTGTCCTGAAAAACTTGAAAACTATCTTCTGTCATGCCTAAACTAATGTCCTTGTTTCAGGTTAGAACTTAAATTGCCTTTGTTAATTCGTTCATCATATTTCTCGTTGACTCGGTTTGCAGTTGTGCTGAAGGGCTTTTCTGATATTTAACAGTAGTTGCAGTACATTAATTCATTTTAACATCCACCATCTGCGTCCTTTACAGTATGTGCTGGCTGTAAGGATGCTGCTTAGCCTTAACTAACATTTGCATTGTTAAAATTGCATTAAGATTTGTGCTTAGTGGTGAAGTGTAAATGTGGATATCCGAAATGAGGAGAACTGGATTATTAAAATGTTTTGCTTCCACAAGGGAAAATAAGAATAATGTATATCAAACCTTTGCTTGACTCGGCATGTGACTTGTAAGATCTAAGTGAATTATGGACGGTTTATCAAATGGCTGTTTATCCCAGTCTACTTTATTTACAATGTGTTCAAGCACATTGCCTGAAAAAAGGATAAAATATCAATGTTGTAATTGACCATGTATATACTAGTGTAGGTGTAAACTCTCTGTTCTGCTATTATGGTGAATATTTTAGTATCCATGCCAGGACTTTTAATTGCTGCATATTTCGTTTAACCCTGCTGGATGAAATTAACAAATATAGCCGTACCAGTATGTACTGTTCTCACTGCAGAGGAGGATATCTTTTTAGCTTATCAGCAGTTGTTTGCCTTTAGGGAAGGCAATGAGTACTGCACTTTACTAATTATCACCACATTGTGTGGCTTACATCGATGTCGTTCTAAAATCCTAGTTTCCGCACTCTCAATATTTGGATTTCTATCTACTTTCTATCAATCTTCTATTTACTTAAACCTCCTCTTCTCATTGTACTCACAGACTGCAGTGCTAGACTCCTGACAGGTTGATGTGATTAGTCTATGGCTTGACCTTTTGAATTGCCAGTCAAACCAATTTACAATTACCGTTCATGGTGACGAAAGGTTAGTCTGTTAATTTAAAGACTGTCTTCGTCCGTTAGCTAAATGTAAAGTTATATTGCTTCACATACAGCCCGGATTCCTTCTCGAACTCGAATGTTTTTAGTCTAATTGCTTGGCAAGTTCTCTGCTGCTAAGCAACCTGAGTTTATGACAAGTTGTCAAAAAAGTGATGGGAAGAACATTTATTCGAGCGCTAAACTTAAATAAAATGGTGAGGCACTTACTGTAGGAATTTGACTGTTTCCAGGAAATGAATCTACTACATTCACTTGAGATATTCAGCCACTGGATTAAACTGCATATACAATATTCAAAAGTTGCTCCACCTAAACAGTTAAATGTTTCCAACACATTGATAAATCAATCATAATTCAATAAAATAGTATAAAACTATTACTTTAAGTACATTGGCTAATATTTCTACACCTTTATCAACATATGACTTTAAAATAAATACTTGTCTGTGCGTAATATTACTTATCGAACAAGAGTACCCAAACATAATAATGAACTTATGCACACTGATAAATGCAACCATTTTATTGTAAAATTTCACAGCTATGTGCAATTTCCTTATGAAAAGGATTTTTTTCCAGTACATGTATAGCATATTATGCAGACCCTAACATAATTGATCAGTGCCCCTTTTATACAATACTCAAATATACATAAATGGCAAACAACAAACATAATGTATGTATGAGGATCATATGAAATTTATTTTGTTCTTGGATAGCTTGAGCTCTGTAATACCAGTGCATATTATTTTGTTTTCTGCAGTTTGACAAAATACATAACAATAGAAAATATCTACATGTGCTGTTCACATACATGTCTCATGTGTGGGTCCAGACATAAATAAAAGTACTTTGTCAAATGTACAGTGTAATAAAAGTCCATTCCAATGCAGGCAAAAGACTGCAACCAGATGAAACATTGAATTAGTCCAAAATCTGAACACATATCCGACATGCACACTACTGAATATAACAGTGTCTCCCATACTCCTTTATACCTCTGCTTTTACAGTAGAGTGCACAAACAATAATGAACAGAAATGAAATAAGCTTTTAACATCATGGAGAAGTAAAATAGCATAAAGTATGTTGTTTTTTTGCACCACTGTTCAAACACGAGACATGCTTGGTTATTTACAAACCCAGCAATCTAATAAAGTCTGAGTCAGTCTGAGTCAGAAATGTTTAGCTGTTCACCCTGATACAAAATGTATTTCTTATCAATCTGGTCTACATTCAAATAATTGTACTCATGCTTTTGGTTGTGTAACGTTTTCAAAAAAGAACAAAAAAACATACTATCTGAGGGAATAATGGTGTGTTCAACTTTCATCGAATAGCATTTCCTTCACGAAAACACTCACTTTCAGCACATGTTTTTTTTTTCATTTCTTCAAGGCATTAAAAGTGGATTCACAAATGATATTTCAGTTTGATATTCTCTATTGCATGTGTGTCACTTTGGCACTTGATAAGATGTAATCACTCTTTTACACTTCTTTAAACTACAGAACACAGATGATGGCCAGTCTAAATTGCTATTGACACACTTGTGTCTCTAAAGATGTGAGAGATAGAGTATGTGCACACTGAAGACAGACTACTAAGTGGCAGCTTCAGAACACAACAGGACCACCGTTAAATACAAAAGGGAAGAAACTTCTGGAAATATGAGATAATCTGATAATTAATGCATATGGAAGTATCATCACTGATACTTTATTAAATATGGCAAATATGACCAATGACCTTGTGAAGGTGGAAAAAGTGGAAATAACCAATAGTCACTGAGACAAGCAAATGTTCTTCTCTTCTGGTGGCTTGGGAACGTTTTTTTGTGTTTTTTTCCCCCCCTGAAAATATTCAAGTCTACTACTCAGAAGCTGCAAAACAGGTTATGTTGCAACCCACTAATTTAACAGATATAACAGTTTGACAGGCCCTTGTGAGAGTAGTGTACATCGATCACAACATAGAAAACACAAGATAAATAAGCTCAAGCTCCATTGACACATCAAACAAAAATGCATCTTTGATATAAATGACAGCATTCTATGTTCTTTTTTTTTCAGGGGCTATATGAACATAACATACTTTTTTTTCTCTCGATAAAATAAATAAATAAATACAATAAAGGGATAAATAAATAAATACCCCGTTACCCCCAAGTATTCTACATGGTCAATCCAGCATGATACAATAGGTCTAATATACTGTAGGATGATATACTGTAACAATGCTGAAATTACAAAATATATTCCCTTTTACGAAATTCCAAGGGCTTGACAAGTGTTTTCTTCCATTAATAATATATGTACATAAACAATGTGATTTACACCCATTCCTTGACAAATCATACTGAAGCACTGTCTCCATTTGTTGCATACTGGTGTCTATCAAAATTGTAATCTGTAGGGTTTGTAATTAATGTGTGTTACATGTTTATCATAGATGACATTTACTTGTCAGATGCTTTCACTGTGTTCTCCGCTCTCTTCACACACTATGGCATTCAGAGCTAATTTAAATGGAAAAGAAAATAAGAAAAAAATACAAAAACAAGGAAATTCTGCCTAGCCAGTAAATCAGTTTCCTCACTATGTAATCATTTACATTCTCAACGTGTTTCTTCTCAAAGAGACAGGAAGTTAGATGCTTGATAATAAGGCTTGCACATCTCTTTCAACACAAGCAGATGCTTTTTTCCCCCTTGAACAAAGCTCATTAGTTGATTTCATATAACATTTTTGTTGTATTTTGACCAATCGTTTCAATTTATATTTGAAACTGCTGGTAATGTAGATGCCATTAACACTGTTGTTTTTATAAGAACACTTGTTTCAGTTTAGGTGTCTTGTAAAAGCTTGCGTAACCAAACAACAACAGGAGTGTGTCATTATGTATATGCACGCTTTTAAGAGCAAATATAGGAGAGGTCAGGGTTGTCTATACCGTTAGCTAATTAATAGCTGTGAGGAAAATGACTAAACAAGCTGTCTGGCCTGTACGCAGAGATGATTCCACAAATTAAAAAGGATAAATCGGGCACATTTTTATAATTTCATTTTCCAATTTTCCTAGAAAATAGTATAATTCAATCTTGAATGATAATAAACAGTGCTTTTTTTTAAATATATTTCCATAGCCAACAATAGAAGACCATAAAATATGTTGATTTTTGGCCTGAAAGGTGCATGCAATAAATGTAAACCACTATGTAATAGTAAAATATATACAGTGTCTGTACAGTTGAGCATTGTCCATAAACAGCATTGTCTTTCTCTGACCGCACCTGAAAAATGCAATGTTTAATTGTGCCAACACTAAAGCTAAACAAACTAAAAATAAATTAGCATCACTGTCTAAAATAGCTCTATTAAAGTGCTTTAGATTGTGTGATATAGTAGGTTAAGTCAAAGGAAATGATGCAATTAATGTCATTTAGATTTTTCTGATGAGTGTTTGCTGTCATTTCAATTTCAATTTATTTGAATTGCTTTATACATAAGTAAATTATTTATCAATTAGCAATTAGCTAACAAAAAAAAAACTAAACATAATTGGTCACACAATCTACAAACCTCCTCATACCAGTTAAATGTAATGCTACAACTTTTGCAATGTGTGTTAAAGTTTTCAAATAAAATAACTACAATTCAGCGGGATCAAATGTATGGATATAAAGGAAATGCATTGTATCGTTTTAGTGGGTCCCCTCCTTCATAATGTCCCTTGCTGGCACAGAGCTTATGTAGAATGTAATGAGCTGTATGATAGGGCTGGGCACACACCCAGGCCTAGAGATAGAGATATGACACCCAGTAGACCAGGTTAAATAGACCAAATGCAGTGGGGAAGAAGATGCGTGCATACGAGTCTATCTTTGCGACGTGGATGTGCAACCTGCCGTGCCGCCAGGCTCCGGAGCGGCAGTCCTCGAAACAGCAGAAGAAGCTGGTGCAGTCCTTCCCGTCCAGGCACTCGTAACCGTACTCTTCGTCTCGCTCCTGCATGTGCGTGGCGTTGTTCATCTGGATGGCTGTGGCCGAGCGGGGGCGGATGTCAACCGTGGGTTTCTGCTTTTAACAGGACAAAAAGACAGAGTTAGTTAGCTACCAGAGCCCCAGTATGCCGTAGCAAAGACCTCACTGACATTACAGGGGATCTAGTTTGAGCTGCCATTTTTTGTGTCGCTTGCTTCAGTTTAACTTTAGTCAGTGAAATGCAAATTGCACCTTCAACTCGCCAATGGACCCTTTTAATGCCAAGAAAACTCAAATTGACCCGTAGCTACCAACTGTGGTTGCATTAGTGAGGATTATAGTGACACCTTTGCCTGGGGATAAATTGGGCGCTGACCAAGTTATAAAATGTTTAGCACAGTAGTTCATATTTCTTTATTTTGCAGATATATAAAGCTAGTGCTGGGCAATGCCCCTCAATTTCATTTAGATTCTGACCATAACATCTGCAGTGAAAACACTGTAGCAAACACACGAGTGCCTCACTTATTCCATGTAGAAAAAACAAATTCAATGCTCAGTGACTGAACAACATGTCATCATTTGGACCTGTATTGATTTTGTAAGCATTGTTTTTTTTTCTGGAATGTTTTATTAGGATATATTGTTAATGGCTTATTTATGGCATCATAAAGCTAAGCTTGGGGAGGAGCATGCGTTGGCAGATGTTCAGCACACAGCTCAATCATTCTCTAGCCCACTCTCACTGTCACCAAATCCCAAAATAATTAAACCCCTTTTCAAACTGTGCTCACCACTCACTGGAGGGCACATGCTATTTATTTGTGAAGATTCCCAAAATAGGACAGTGACATCAGTGAGTACGTGGCCCTGCCATTATACAGTGAGACAATTATCATTTTTTATCTTGAAAGGCCACCTTTGCACAAATTGGAATACTGGCTTTTTGGCAGATTAAATACTCTGCCCCCCTTTGGCAGAGGTTCTTTGACCTTGCTGATATATCCGGGTGTCAAGCTCATCATTTAAAAAAGACACAGCGATTCAAGCATACTCCAAAGCTGAACTTCTGAAGAATTGCACATTACTTCCGATCAAAAAAAGTGCCAGCAGCTGTTATTTAAGTGTTCTTTATGCTTATTCGTTTAACATAGGAACACTAATCTATAAAAAATACTTTGCTAGAACTCACAAACGTTTTACAACTTATATGTATGCTCTGTGTCAATCTGTTCTTTTTTAATTGCTTAATACATCACAAAAGTGATGTTTTTGACCCCATTTGTATACACCTACAATAGACATGCTTGCTGAAATAATACAAAAAATGGTCATTGCAGTTTTAGTTTGAACATAACACTATCTGCTGTGCACATGCATCCTCAAACAAGCTTTAAATACATCAATTGAATTAAACTGTTCATCCCCACAATTCTATTCTTGCCCAGCACTAGTGCACAAACCTGTGGTCCCTTTGAAAACGATACATAACCACAAACAAAACAACATACGGGTTATTTTCAGCCTATTTGTCCTTAATTATTAACGGACAGTGTGTTGAGGTGGGGATAAGCAACAAATACAAATAAAAAGGTTATGACTCAGTTCTCAAGGGGATTGGTTGCACTTGAGGAAGCGCAGAAGGAGCATTAACAGCATCCTGCCGCATGGCCTGGTCAAGCTGGGCTGTGCTGTGTCGGTGTTAGCAAAAACAAAATAAAAGAACAACAAAGAAACAACACAGTGGCATTGGCAACTTTAACTGGCTGAAATTAGACAACCTCTCATAGAAGGCAGACGGCGGAAACATTCATTAGTGGAGGATGCCCTTGTTATCTAGCTTAAGTTAAATATGTAATGGTTGTAGACTCATGTCTTTGCTGGAAATCCAACTGATAATATTATTCCCCCCAGTAAAGTTTCTATGAGGACCACTATGTGAAAAATATAATCTTGTCTTGTGTGTTAGGTTAAATGTAGACCTTTGATTGCTACCACCCTAGATGCTTTTTAGGTGTTTAAAGATTAGCATGTGTTAATGTTCTGAATGGACCTCCAAATCTAATTTGACTTAGCACAGTGCAGGGGGTTGTCTGTTTCAGTCTGTTAATTCTCTGCAGCGTCAGGTTGAGAAGCCCAACAAACACACAGGTATAGATTTACTGGCAGGAGAAGGGAGAGGACAGGAAGCTTTTGCAGCGGCTGCTGGGTCACTGTGGTTCCAACAACAACAAAGAGTGAGACAGGACAGAGGGAGCCAGAATGAGTCCACACTGGACCTGTACTATAACATTCCTCTGGATGCTTATTTTCATTTAAAAAAATTGAATAAGTACGTCTGGCTGGCTGCCCCCGCACTGTGCACTGCAGAGCGCCCCTTTTAATGTCATGTATGTACAGTTAGAATGCAGGTAGATAAAGAGGGAATAGAGAGAGGCGTATCTGCTGTGTCACAGACAGAAAAGGCAGTGAGGTGCTGGGGGATCAAAGAGCCAACATGCAGCAGACACATGCAGTCAGACACAGGCAATATACCTTTGAGGAAAAGATCCGGAGGAGCTTTTGTCCAGACAGGATGCAAAGAATATGTGGAATTGAAAGAGAGTAACAAAAAAACAAAGAATCCATGTAAACAGAGGACAAAAAACAGCGATAGAAATATACACAGGATAATGTGTGAAACTTACAATCACTCTGTCTAAATCAATAATGAAAAGAGAATAAATATACAGTAGAGGGACAAACATGTTACAAACAGACATAGGAGGAGATGCATGGTGGGAAACATGTATCTCACATGATTACGCCAGCATTACCTTCGGAGAAATATTACAGATACAAAACTATAATACAGTGTTCACTCCTTGTGCTTGTGACATCATTACGTTTAAATTCGCCTTACATAGCAGCTCGTTGACACATTTGGTTTGTGACATTTAACAGGCGTTGTTGTAACATATGCTGGTAATATAAGATTTTTTTTTTTTTTTTAAATCACATGGCTTAACAGAACTAAGAGAAACATTTCATTTATTTACATTTCCTCGATGACCTTTAACATTTCATGAACGTCAAAAGAATTTCAGTAACAGACCTCCTTCTTATAGCATACTTCCTCCTTACTGCATTTTAACCAGTGAAGACCTGTAAAAGCGCCTCTGAGATGGCAGACTGGCAAACACCTTCCACTTCATTACTCATTCATTCGTCCATTGGACAGTTTCACCATGTGCACATCCTTAGTTGCAGAGGCTGAAACTAGAGTGCCCCACTTTCCACCAAAATTCCAGTTCAATACTCCGGTTTACCCGAGCACATCATACTTAGAGGTTTAAGATTTGATATCTTCCAAGTCCGTAGAAAAGTCATAACTTCAAAAAGAGATTTCAGTAACCCTAAAACATTTTCTGACTTAAAACACTAAACTTTGTGCCATTAAGTAGACTTCAAGAAGTAGACTTAAAACGATTGTCATGCAGACATTCATATGTAGAACCATAAGCCACCTCTAGCTGATTAGGGACAACTGCTGGTCTTGCTGTTGAGGGTTAGCGTTCTCAGCTTCGTAAGTGCTCATATGGCGAGGGATCATGGCTCTCCAACATAGCTGCCATGATCTCTTGAGGGATTTAAAAGCTCACATGACTACTACTCTCCTGTCACGTGACATTGGTCTAAATTACAACTGTAACTGTAACTGGATCAGGAAAAGGTTGGAGCTGCACGCCTCGCTCATTGAGTAATTTGTGGGCTGGCCCCTTGGGAAGATACTCCCTTAGGAAATCAGTGTTTCTCTTTTTTTCCCGAAGGCTTAATCCCTGTGCTGCTATAAAGTGGGGGGGATGGACAGATGCAGGACTTGACTTTTCACCTAAATAAAGGATACTGTAAACACTGCAAATATATAACACACAGGATTAACCCAACATCATGGTAAATACATTACAATCACTTGTAATTGAGCAATGTTTCTGTCAAACTGAAACCTAAAGAAAAGAAATCCTCACTGAAATAAACTCACCGGGTTTCTCTTCTTCCTGTCCTTTTTGGCGCTCTGCTTCCTGTTGCTGACAAAGTAGTGCAGCGTGCCATACTCTATAAGTGCGGCGAAGACGAAAATAAAGCAGACTGACACAAACAGGTCCATGGCGGTCACATAGGAAACTTTCGGAAGGGATTTCCTGGCTATAGTACTCAGCGTGGTCATGGTCAGCACCGTGGTGATGCCTGATAATGAGATTGAAGACAAGAGAGAAAAATTAAATCAGCTCTGAATCAAGAAATGTATGAATGAATGATACTGTACTCTTTTTGCACTGCACTCAAAAAACTAAAACGATGATGTACTCAATTTAATTGGTGAAACATTTTTACACTTAAAAATATTGAGTCAATCTTAAAGCTGTGAAATCATTTAAATTTACCTTATGAATTGAGTAAATGTAAGTAAAAAAATCAAGTGGGTCTAAATAACTACATTTAGTACCATAACATATACAATTGAGTAAATATAATTAAAATCCTAAGTCAATGCAATAGTAACCCTAAGCCAAAACCACTATTTCTTTTTAGTAGATATCACTTAAATGCTAGGTAGATGTAACTGAAAAGGAGACTATTATTTAACAAAACAAATGTGTGAAATTTACTCGATGTTTTTAACTACATTTAATTAAAACTGGACTATTAATTATATAAATATATGTGTTACATTTACTTATTTTTTTAACTGTATTTACCCTTTACTCCAGGAGTGCTTTACCTGAGGTCAATACATCTGATAAAACCAAAAGAGCAATTGTACACATTGACATTTTAATTACATATTTATTGTTCAAATTTGACCAGTATAACACATCACATTAAGTCTCAACCTGGTTTAGTTTGCATATTACATTTGTAACAATTAGGGGCTGTTCTTGACAAAATACATTCTTAGTCGACTAACACTCGTACACATTTGATGACTAATCGATTAAATCAACATATTCTTCACAAAGAATCACACAAAAACACCACTTTAAATCCTTGTGTTTACCAGAGATATCTATGAGGGTCCGTTAGGGACATTATTCAGAAATACCATTCACATACACATGTGAAGCACTCTCACACACACACAACTGAAACCAAAATAATTTACAAACATATGTAAAAATCTCTCGCACACAAACAATCTCTTATACACAAATTAAACGCTATCATATACACATGAAATGCGATTTCGGTATGTTGTGTGAGAGGGATTTCAGTTGAAATGGAAGTCGTTTAAAAAAAACAGCGAAGAAGCGCAAATTTTAAAAAAGCGAACACAATATTATGTCCGTTTGCGATTGTTCCATCATGTCTGCTCAGCCGCATGCACAAAGCTGAGGCAGCAGCGTTGTTAAATAATATCCTGGCCTCAACACCATGTATCGTCCCTCTTCCCGTCCCGCGGCAGGCAACGGCCCACTACAGCTCCCCTTAGGAGAGACTGTGCACCCCGCTGAGGCCAGGATATTATTTAACAACGCTGCTGCCTCAGTTAAGCTTTGTGCATGCTGCTGAGCAGACATGATGGAACAATCGCAAACGGACATAATATTGTGTTCGCTTTTTTGAAATCGACTTCCTTTATCAACTGAGATGCCTTCCGTTTCAACTGAAATCCCTCTCACACAACATACTGAAATCGCATTTCATGTGTATATGATAGCGTTTCATTTGTGTATAAGAGATTGTTTCATATGTGTGAGAGCGTTTCATATGTGTGAGAGCGTTTCACATGTGTATACGAGAGATTTTTACATATGTTTGTAAATGATTTTGGTTTCAGTTGTGTATGAGAGTGCTTCACATGTGTATGTGAACGGTATTTCTGAATAATGTCCCCAACGGCCACTCATAGATATACGTTTCTTACAAATAAGTCATTCACCATGAAAAAAAATACATTAAAATATTACTAATTGACTAAAGAAATCTTCATCGACCAAAACCACAAATAAAGTCAACTAATCGACTAAGAAGGGAGAGCCCTGGTAACAATGGCCAAGCTATAAAAACGATGAGCTGAATTGAGCTCTGCATATAACTAAGCGGTCCTTTTAAACACGGGTAAAATGCAACAAGACCAATTGCAGCAGAGAAATCTTAGCATCAATGGAAATCTCAAATTTGATTATTTAGCAATAAAACTTTTAGGCATTTTATCTAGCTTAACTTTCAACCAGGTATATTTTTGCCAATGAGCATGTGAACATTTCCATTGAGCTATGGGAGCAACGGGCTGAACTGAACTCTGCATATGACTGAAATGCACCAAGAACAGTGACACTTTACAACAATACCAGTCCAAAATGCAATTCAATCAATGGAACTCTCAACTCGTACCTTTTAGCATCTTGCTGAACAGTAGTCGGCAACTACATATGCAGGCAATTTTTCAGTCTCTGAACCTTGGTTGAAAGGTTGCCAGGATCCAGCTCCAACAGTAGTTTTTGGAATACCTCAAAACTATATTTGAGATTCTTGGGGTATCTCAGATCCAAGGCATAGGTTAGTCCCAACAGATAGCAGCAGGCTCTGCTAAGATCCCTAAGACTTCTGAGGACAGGGATGCCCTCAATCACAATCCCTACATCAGTAGGTTCATCGACTGACCCATCTTGGTTCTGCAGCAGGTACATCTTCATCACCTCCTCTGCCAACTCCTCTTGTACACTGACAGGTGCATCAGCAGCATCCTGCAGACATTGAAAAGATAACTGGTTAGTGCTTACTTTCAGCCTGCATGTTACAAGACACACAACGAGCAATTCCTCACTGCTCACTCACTATGTATGTTCATGGTCATCACAGTCATCCATGATTACATTATTTAAAACTTCAAAACTAACACTGTTAAAAATCCTGAAAACTATTGTACTAACTAGGGCTGCAGCTATAGAGTATTCTAACGATGAATTCATTAATCGGATAATACATTATTTTGCTTTATTAAAAGAGCAATAGTAAATATAGAAAAGAGAAAATAAGACCGGCCTCTCAAAATGAACAACAAGAAAAATCCACATTGTTATTGTTTAAATTGCATACAATAATATGTCAAAACTAGACCCATTTAGTGCATTAAGTTTTAAAGAACCCATTTTCTGAAATGCAAAAACTAATAATTATTGTTTTTTTATTTCAAAGAACTCAAAAAAAAAAAGTATACGTCTTCTGGGCTACACATATAAGGGTACTATAATTGTAACTGATCACTGCACATCTGTATCGGCCTCGGTCTTACCTCTGTGCCACGCTGTCTGTCTGCTTGACTGAGTGCGTGTATGTCTGTCCCACTGCCCGATAATTTTTAGTAATCGAGTTACTTGAGGAATCATTTCAGCCATAGTACTAACCTCAAAGTCCTTGATCAAGGCACTCGCATCTTCTCCCAGATTCCAAAGGTACCGTGCTTCAATCGATAGTGCTTGAGAAGTGACCCTTTCGCTGAAGCCACACATGTGCAGAGCTTACATTGCCATCCCATAAGCTGCAACCTAAAAAAGTGAGGATAAATAGTGTTATCACATGGAGGGAACAGACTGGTTTAATGCTACTTCCATTTACCTACATACTTTTTGGACTAATATGTTTTATCATACAGAGCTTTAAAAATGAAACCCAATTATATTTACTCATTGATGCTAATAATTACATCTACTCCAAACTATAGTTAATGGAACATCTACCGTAATTGCACAAACATTTGGAAAACAGTCAATAAAAACGATTGCAGTTGCAGTGTTCAGAGCCAGGATCCTCAATTGCAGGAGTAGTATATAATAATTAGTAACAGTTTGTATTATCAAGTCCTAGATATTTGTATATAGTCACTGTTTATGTTTCTAACAAGTGCTTCCTGGCCTTTGCACTCAAACATGGTCGAAATCAAGGTGCAACTCATTTAGCTTATTCACCGATTTCTTAAACTTGTATAAAGCAAACTAATATGTTGGCAACGTTGTTTCAGTGTTTAATAAAATAATGAAATTTACCTCCTCTGTTTTGTTATCTTCGTTCAACTTCTCTCCGTTAGCGCAGTCGGTGCTGTGAAACAAATATTGAAAATATTTAACATGCTTCACAAAATAATTCAACTTTACTTGCGCTAGCCATCATCAAGTGTTCCCTCATAAATATGACAACACATAAGTTGGGCAGGTAGGCCACTCCTCTTAAGAAAATGCAATGCCTTATTATAATAAAGATGAAACAGTTTCATAAGCATATAGGCAAGACTAGTAACAGCTGCTGGGCCGCGGATGCAGTAGGCAGACGTTATCTGAAATCACTCGCACGATACAGTAATCACCCAAATAAACTAATAGCCACCTTACACAAACAAGGTGCATTTATCTTTGTATTATCCATACTTTTATCGGCGCTTCTACAAAAATCAACAATATAAGTAATACATTTACACAAACAACTAATAGTAGATTAACTACATTATTCAAAAATGTACAGTAACTTTGGATAATAACACGGGAGAAATAAACAGGGTGCTCTCTTTTCCTCTCTCCCTCTCCTGACAGCCCGTCAGTTTAGTCTCATGCAGCTCGCTAATCCAGTAATGAGTGACCCAAAAGTAAAGAATAAACATATTTATAAATAAGTTCGGTTACTTCCAGAGGTAGATAAGATTGCTAAATGTGTTAGGTCTAACTTGAAGCGTGTGCTCTGCTCACCGGTCCCCTCACAGCGGCAGAGCTGCAGGTGATCATGCAGAGCTGCGTGTCTCAGTTTGCAGAACCTGATCACTCTCCCGATTATACTTCACTCGTGTTTATGTCCATATCGATCAGATCTAGCTAGTTTTAGTTAATGATACGACTGCCTCCTTATCAGGGATACCTAAACGATAAGCGTTGCTTAGTAACCGGGTGTGGCGGCAAAGCCCCCTTCACAGCCTGTTCAAGGCGAGACTGTTGCTCCGTTATCCCGGCATGGCGGGACATGCAGACACACATATTCGCCGGCGCTGTTGTGTTACACGTCAGGCCGGCATGCTGTCTAATATCACACACTGGGGCAGCATTATGCTGGCATTGCCTGGTTAAGTATTAAAAAGTCGACGTAATGGCGGATCTTCTTTACTACAGCATTTCTGAATAACAGTGTAAAAGGGGCTTAAAACAAACAGCTAACTATGCTACATACAGACAGCTGGTTGATTAGGTACTTAAGACAACAACTGCGGACAAAGCAGGTGCTAATGTTTCTACTTTTTACTTGAGTAAACGTTAGCTTCACTTCACCTGGTTGACTGTGTCCACCATGCGTGTGTAGAAGCGGACAGAGAACTAGCTAGACCTATGACAGCATGGCTGCAAGTGTGACAGTATTTAGATAATTACACACCATAAAGTTGTATATGCACAAAGTCAGGGTCAATATTTCATTAACTTTTGCTAGCTGGCTACTTACCAGGATTTGCAGGGAGTTTTCCTGGTGGTTCTCGTCGTGGTGTTTTCTTGCTTGTTGCGGTTGCCACATGTGGCGCAGATAGAAAAGTAGATTTCCCATGAGCACACTGCATTTGCGCGCGATTGTTAATGGGGTCCACTCATGACATTTTAGTGTAATTTACTCAATTTCTTAAATTGTTGTTAAAGATGAAGAATATTGATTTGGAATGAGTAATAATTGCTGTTCCTGAAACTGATCAGTATAATTAGCCAATTCTCAAATATTTTGACTGAAATTTGCCAAAGATATTAAGGATATCTTAAAAATATAATTTGTTAGTCAAATACTCATTTATTTTCGTGTCATCAACTTAAATGATAGTAATAATTTAAGACAAAATTAACTGTTGGATTTGTAAGCATTTATTTTGGTATGTCCGACTCAAACAATTACTTTGGTGATATTTAGAGATTTTATTAAGGTAATATAGCTTTTTATTATTGTGATATCTACAAAGCCACTGTTTTAGTTTTTTGAGTGTGCTACATAGAGTGCAATGGTTTGTCATATCCACAAGTTGCTTTCCTTTTCAGAAGCCTGATATATTTTGTATATTATAATGTCAAAAAATGCAACACAATTATAGTTACATAACATTTATACACGCATTTTACTTACGCTCTTAAATCTGTCCTGATGTTTTAATTGTTTTTAAAGATATGATTGAATAAATGTCACAATAAGGATATTCTCCTCAAAATAGTGTCATAAAGGAAGTAATCTGAAACTGGGAATAGATGTTTTTTAATATTTTGCATTGATTGCATCCTTTTTTGTTCAGTGTGTTAATTCATTCATCAATGTTCTCATACATTTTTCAGCCCAATAACCCCTTAATGTTTTAGTGTAGAAGGTACATTTTAAATTTTGGAAAATATAAAAATTGCTGAATTAGAATTACAGCCTCATTCAAATTGAACCGAGTTGCATATGTGAAACTCCATGTGATGAAAGCTATGTCAGATCTAAGATTAATTAGAAAAAGTCATGCTAGAGGTTATCAACCAACTGATTATAACTATATATATTATAATATATATATAAATAAATAAAAGAGGTTTAATGTTGGCTTTTGAACTGAAAGCTCTTGCTGTTGTTGCTCCATGCGGATGGAGTGAGCAGCTGTTTTTACTGTCCCTATGATCCACGTACTTTACTGGTTTAGCTGCCATTGACCACCACACTGACATACAACAATTCTTTATCCACCATCTGGTTACACTCTCCCATTTGACCCGCTCTATTTGTCTCTAATGATGATGTAGTTCTAGGCTGGGTTATGGCACATGACTAGTAAATGCGTTTATAAGTAAGCTGATACACCAGACTGGAGACAGCACACACACACAAGCCGAACACCAACAAACAAGCATTAACAACGCCGCCTCTTTCCTTTTTAAATCGACCATACTTATAACAGGATTTGCCTTGTATACGGGAGATGATTTATGTCTAAATGTAACACTGAGTGAAAGACATCAGTCTGCGTCATGATTAACATTGCAGTATTATGAGTGAATTGATATATTTCTGGTTGGCATTGAAGGATTAAGAAGTATGTCATCTGCATTAATCCGTTCCTAACCACCTGGCTTCCTGTACCTCCGACTTCATCTTTCAAAGGAAATTAAGATTTTGGACTCTTGGTACAATTTTAGCAATGATTTTATGTTGTTATTATTTCAGCCGGAAATCATGTCAGGAGCTGCATTAGTAGGAGGAAAACAAAACAACCTATTTTGAGATGGATTAATGATGGTCAAAGTGAGGATCATAGTGGGATAGAATATGGGCTTCTGCCTGCAGGGATTGCTTTACATTCAGTTATGCTCGCTAATGATCACATCACATTGACTTGAGGTCAGGGTTTAGAGCCTTAGGGGGCCGAAAGATAAGCTGACTAAGGAATATGTATGTTACTGCACCATGAGTGAACTTCTGAGGATGTCCACTGGATGCCAAGGGCAAGTTCAAAGCTGACGAATATCCTTAAAATCCTCAGTCTTGCCCACTTTTTCATTCAGTGTCCACTTATTGCATTCAGTGAAGAGGCCACCTGCATCATTATTGTGCTGAGGCTGCATCTCTGCAACTTCCCTGCTGTACTGCATAATTAATGCCTCATTAGGCCATGCATGAAAACACATGTGCCAGGATAGGCTCTTCTAATCAAGATGGTCTAGATTCCTAAGCAGCTGCCCTGTCTCAGAGGGGGGAGAGAGGAGGAAGATGAAGGGACGGCAAAACGAAAGGAGAGAGCAGTAGGAAGCAGAAAACTTAAGCCGACTTATCTTTTGTATTTTGGTGGTGTATGACCACCACAGGGTGCTAGTTGTGTTTCTCAGCAGAGAGTAATCAGGGCTAGGCTGCCTAATGAACATCAATGCAGCATAAGTGTGTTCGGGCTAGGTGGACTCATTACAAAATGAAGTAGAGCAAAGGCTCTGTCAAGAGCAGTAACAGAATACATGCATATTGGGTATAAAAAGGGTTATACAAGTAAATGTAAAATTCTGTTTTAAAATGTTCTGCTAACTGACTTTTACATGATTCCAGCATGTACAACAAATGGTCGACAGCTTGCAGCAAAACAGGTTTACTTTATATTTACCCAATGATGTCCTGGCAGGTACTGCGTCCTTGTTGATCCAGAATGAGACCCATGAGAGGACAACAATGAGGGTGCATGGGATGTAGGTCTGAATGGTGAAGTATCCCATTCTTCTGCTCAGGTCAAAGAAAACGGTCAGCACCACATAGTCACCTGGAGAGAGAGAGAAATAACAGGAGAGAAAATTGATAAATGAAGGGCAGGTGTGACCAAACATAAGGGATAGAAGGTTTAAATGCAGGATATACATGATTTTAAAGTGCAAACACTGCATAGTAATTAGCCGTGAGTATTAATGTTCACAGTCCATACTAGAAAATATGAATGATCAAACATGTAATGCACTGAGAAAGTCAGTGGCACATTCACTTCCTGTAATCAAAACATTCTGTCAACACAGAAACACAGAGCTAAGCTTAAACAAACTGCTAAGTCACGGGCTGATCAATGCGTAATGTTGTGTAACCAAAAACTCCACAGCATGTTTGCCCAAGGCAACTGGAGATCTTAAATGAAACAGAGTGTTTCAGAGAGCAGGACTTGCTTGAATACACACGATCACACACACACCCTCGTCTCCTGCCAGTAGTTAGCTCGAGCATGAACACTAGCATCCAGCTGATGATGAGCCCTCCCTGGGCTGGCTGTCTGACCCCAGCAGATGTTCGGTGTTAGGAGGTTGAGGTTAGCTGAGTCCAGATAGCCCTAACCCTGACAATACGGATCATTCAGCCTGCCTGTTTAAAATGCATTCTAATCATGAATGCGTGCACCTTCTTGTACCACATGCAGACACAGTGTGCTTTCAAAACACTTGCAAGGAGAGGGAAATAAACAAGAACCAAACGGGAGGATTGACATGTACAAGAACAAACGCACAATTCCAGTCCTGACAGCTTGACAATGCAGCAAAGCCTGCCAATAGTTACTGTCCTCTATAGTGGTGTGCCCATGTACCTGCCTGTCTGTTTCCCTTTAATGGCAGCTCACTGCTGGCCTCCAGCTAAGTCAGTTGTCTGCTAATTGATTAACATCAGACTGTTAACAGTGTCGGAAACCTCCGCTGGCCTCTCAGTGTGGAACGTAACCTGCAGGGGGCAAACCTACTCTCTCTCAGCCATGTATCGGATGTGTGTGTGTGTGTGTGTGTGTGTGTGTGTATAGGCACCTACCGCACAAGGAGTAGTCACTGCAGCTGTGGATTCAACAGCTGGCTAATAATCGTCCTCATGCGCACAACACATACTGCCGTTTATTGAAAAACAGCCAACATCTGTGTGTTTTTGTGTTAATCAGCGACAGAGAGGGAAAGAGATGAGACTGTCAGTGTTTATTATGTCTGTGAACATGTTCACTCCGTGTGTGTGTGTGAGTGAGTTCTCGAAGTGTCTGGAGAGGGACCAAGTATTTGTGATTCATCCCACCCAGCACCTCTGTTCACCCACCCATGCATAGCATCATTAAATAAACCAAGTGCAATAACCCCAGCAGCAGAACCATAACTGTTCATATCGCCATGTGTGTTTTCTGCTGATGCAGGCAGGTGCATAGTGAATTACAGTGTGCCGCCTTGGTTTGTACGAGTACGGAAAACACAAGCATGCTTCTCTCAGGGATCTCGCAGCCCACTATTTTGTTTTTATTAACATTACATTAGTGAGGGCCCAAAACTGAGACCCCTGACAGCAGAGAAACTGCCTGTTAATACACTTATTCCAGCTCGGTCAGCAGCACAAAGCCTTCTTCACATTTCCTCGGACCCTTAATGATAATGGGATTTCCACCACAGGGGTGAGGTCGGATGGTGAAACACCCTCCTGCCGTACGCCTCTCTCAGTCCATTCTCTAGTTTCATTACAGGCCACAGCCCCTGCCAGGAAGACTCTTTGAGGATGTGTTATCGACCTCTGCCCTCCTGTCTGGCAGGCTGATGTATCTGTTTCGGCCCTGCCATTAGGAATCTGTAGTAACGTATCAGTTTGTTAATGACTTCCTGATTATACTAAAACAAAAATGGTTTCCAGTTCCCTTCCTGGTTTAACTGTGTGGTTGGGATATCGCAACATAACTGCACGGGGGGGCAGGTTGGTAAATGATCCAGACAAGTAATCCCACAACAATTAGTGTGAACATGTTACATTACAGTTTGTTTGCATGGTTATTTTTATAAGATTGCCTGCTGGAGTGAATTTTTAAATCAAGTTCTGATTGTGTTTTCGGCTACCTTTTACATTATTCTAATGGAACATAATAAAAAGGTATACAATCCTGGTGAAAACTAATGCAGTCTTTGTTTGAGGGTGTAGCAGTACAGTATGTGCTCATGTGCATTGCCACTTCTAAGAGATATTGTAATACCCTTCACATAGGAGCTTCAAATATTAATACCATTTATAAAAGCACAATATGCAGCTAGCAACTCTGAACAATATATACTGTTTTCTGTTAAATAAGAGTTGAACAAATACAAGTCGAATCTGATTGTTATTGCTTCAAAATTAAATTATATGAATTTGTACATTTGTGTGTGTGTGTGTGTGTGTGTGTGTGGTGTGGTGTGTGTGGTGTGTGTGTGTGTTGTGTGTGTGTGTGTGTTGTGTGTGTGTGTGTGTGTGTGTGTGTGTGTGTGTGTGTGTGTGTGTGTGTGTGTGTGTGTGTGTGTGTGTGTGTGTGTGTGTGTGTGTGTGTGTGTGTGTGTGTGTGTGTGTGTGTGTGTGTGTGTGTGTGTGTGTGTGTGTGTGTGTGTAGGTCGCTGTTTATTTCACATAGGACTGCAGCTGGAATACCAAAGCATCCAAGCCTTCGTGCCGGCTTTCCTCCTAATGGGAGGCCTCAAACTAACCTCAGATAGAACTCCCCATCTGTCAACGCCAGAAGATGAGGGCGTGTTCGCAAGAGTGGTCACACATCTTCACAAGGTCTATAGAAAGCTCTCTCTACAAACAACGTTACCTCTGAACTGAAATGTACCTACTGTTTGTGGATGAACGAGGATTATAAAGAAGCTTTCATACATGAGATGCTATGATCTTACTGTAGTTTGCTTGTATCCATCAATGCCCACATCTTCTGTGATCCTACAGACAGCTTCAGTCATTACTCCTTCAATTCTACAAGTTCATTTCTCTGTTACGGCTTCTCATTCAGCATCTTATCATTCAGCGTCTTATCTAGGGTTGCAAAGGGGCGGAACATTTCCGGTAAGTTTCCGGTAAATTTCCATGGGAAGTTAAAGGTGGGGTAGGTAAGTTTGAGAAACCGGCTCGAGATTCACTTTTTGTTATATTCCATGGAATGCTCTTAACATCCCGATAGCAATGAATATCTTAAGTGCTTTGACAAAAAATCCATAAAAAAATGTCATCTGTGGAAGCCGTAGTACTGTAAAAAGCACGACCAATCATTTTAGCCTGCCCGGCTAAAATAACTGGATGGCCTACCTGCCTGTCAGCCTTCCATCTGTGCACAAACTTATCTCGTGCCCTCATTGGTCATGTGCACGTTCGTGTGTGTTGGAGGAGGGGCTCTATAAGGAAGTGGGAGATTTTTTCCGGCTGTGTATTTTCAAATTCTAGCGCACTCGTGCTGGTTTCTCCAAAATGACCTATCCCACCTTTAAGCTTGGGAATTTTCCATGGGAATAATGGGAATTAATGGGAACTAAGTGGGAATTGAGGGTAATGTAATCGAATTGTATCATATCCAAGCATAAATATAAACATTTTGTTTTGTCATAAGAAAACATCCATGCAAAATGATACAATCTTTTGTTTTCATTGATGAACAAAAACATGAATGTTGAGTTAAATATTACTTCTAGAAATCATCTGTGCATGTGATGGACAGTGCCTGTAGGGGGTGTGGTCTCATTAGCCATGCAGTAAGCAGTGTGCTACAGTATGTGCATGTGATTGAGGAATGGCATCTGTTTGTTTTAGTTAGATAGATTATGCATATAACATATACTTTCCCCAACTATATTTAAGTTCCCTATGAAGAGCCAACCTTCAATTTAGAAAATGTATTCCCATAAATTCCCGTTTATTCCCTTAAATTCCCGTTAATTCTCATGGAAAGTTTCCATCTTTGAAAATTCCCGGAATTTTGTAACCCTGGGTTGCGGTCGAATAGTCCATTTAGCTTAGGAACCTTCCTAACGGAGTGAAATGACCCGGAAGTCCCTCAGTGGCAGCCATGATAAGTGCCGTTCGAATTCTCTAAATTAAAAGGAAAGGAGGTTTCAAACTTCCTTTATAACCTCCTTTAGCCTAGGAACCACTGGACCTCCCTAACCGAAAGGAGAGGAGAAAATGCTGCCCCACAATGCCTTGCGGCCGCGGCATTTGCCGTCACACAACAGTCGGCCGTTCACGGAAACAACCGATTATGAAAGAGAAATGATATCATGAAAGTTACGGTGCTTATTAAACATTTTAAAACGTATGTGGTAAGTTGCCAAAGTGCTTTGTTTTGAACGTTCATCAGTATTATAATCAAAAAGAGAAATATGAACGTTAGTTTTTACTGAAATGATCAAATAAAGTCAACATTTCACAGTCTTTACTGAGCTGTGTGGGGTTTGTTCAACTTTTAAAAGATGTTTGAATGGTGATATACACAGTGATAGATGTTAAGGACTAACGTTTATAATAAATACATTTGTATTGATTTTAAGATCTTTTCATACAATCATACGTATTGGGATCATTTGTATTAATGTGGACCGGAGGGAGAGGGTGACGAGCATAAGTTTCACTTTCCTTTTTTATTTCAATTCCAACTTTGGTCATGAAGAATATGTTTCTCTGTTGTCCCCGTTCATAAAGCATAAAACAACAGCATCAGAGCACGGTGCAGAGTCTCTAGATGAGTTTACAGTAGTCCCTCGTTCTTATTAAACATCCATGTTGTAGTCCGCTGTATAGAAAACTGTAGTTTCCATAGTTTCCCCACAGCAGCAGACGCACATTTATGACCTCCGCTGGCACATCATAAACACGTCGGATAGTGAAAGTGCAGTCGGATTCTCTCAAGTACCGCAGTCTCTTCTCCTAAATCCTTTTGAATTCTCCTATCCACTATCCCTTAACCCCATGACGTTTCACTCCGAGGTCAAGGAATAGACGATAGGGATAGAACTTAGGAGCTGTTTT